TGGTGGTTTTCTTGGAGGCCATAGAGTTGAAAACATGAGTTCACGGTGAATCTCAGGCGCTCCATGTTTTGTTGAACATTCACCCTGAAAGAAGACAGTATTTCTGCATGGTTTCTTGGTGAGATACTACAGGAAATCATGGGAATAGTCGGCCAAGCATCAGGTGCCACTTGAGAGTTAACTTTATTAGCTAGTTATTCTCTGCAGGGCAGATACTGACCTGAAAGTCCAATGGATTAAACCTGCACCATCAATTCCCAGTACTGTACCCTTTTCATGAGTCAAGACTCCCCAGCTCTCTTCCCTCTAACAGAACTCAGTGGCAGCTACATAGGCCAGGCTCAGAATGGAAGTCTGTGAGGTCTTTGTCTCCAGAAAAGCATTTTATTTTCCTCGTATAAACTGTCTCTGGCATATATTTCTGTGTGGCATTTCCTGTAGTTGAATAATGTATGCATGTGGGTAAAAGGTCTTGTTGTTGTTTCTGTGTGCCATCAAGTCATAATCGACTCATAGCTGGCCCTCCAGCAGGTTTGCAGAGGCAGTTAAATCACATGAGAAGAGATTGCTGATTGCCCATCCTTCTCCCGGGGAGCAGCTGGTAGATTCGAACCACATGCCATAGGGATTGCAGTGCAGCTTCTTACCATTAGGCCACCAGAGCTCCCTAAAAGGTCTGTTCCTTTGCCTTCTTCTCAGAAGACCCCTCAGGAGATGATGGGTCTGTAGCATTTGTGTCATACACCTCTCCTTTTCCCTCTTTCCTTTCACTACTGAACCTGTAATTTCAGATGCCCCTCAGCTCCATCCTCCACTATCTCATCTTACCTCAAAGACAGAACACCTTCATATTACCAGATTTAACAGTGCACACTGGACCACTACTACATTTACTCTTCAGAAAGTATCAAGTTTTCATCTAGGGAGGGCAGCCTTCCTGTGATGTCCCCTTTACTAATAGATGTGGAGGAGAGTAAATGGGAAGAAATTGAGCACCCACAGTGATGCAGTGGTCAGAACACTTGCCTGCTTTCCAAAAGGTCCGTGGTTTGGACCACCCAGCTACTCTGCTGGAGGATGATGAGACAGCCTACTTCTGTAAAGATGGATAGTGTTGGAAACTCTATGGACAGGTCCACTCTGCCCTACCAGGTTGGACTGTGAGACTGTGAGTGGAAGTTGACTTGATGTCAGTTGGTTTAGTGAACAGCATCCACGGAAACATCAACCTCCACAGCCTTTCTCATGGACCATCACTCCTAGCTGTGCTCAAGGGTCTCAGCAATTCACAAAGCCCCTCGTCACCAGCCCACAGAGTCAGCTAACCCACAGAACTTTCTCCATCACTACACATTTGCCAGTTTATCTCTAGAGTTTACATTTTCTTGCCTCAAACTAGAGAGTTTCTTAAAAAAGCCTCTAAGAAGAGGTATATGACCCAGCTATTCCACTGTTTGGACTATACCCTGAGAAAATGAGAACTGAGGCACAAATCAAGACTTGTACACCAATGTCTATAGTGGTGTTATTCACCATTGCAATAACATGGAAACAGTCCAGATGTCCAACCACAATTGAATGGATTGAGAAATTATGGTAGATTCACATGATGGAATACTACACAACATGTAGGAGAAATTATTTTGTAAATTATTACCTACTTTGGGAGGGACTGAAGAGAATTATGATGAGTGAACTAACGTAGTTCCACAGGGATAAATATTTTATAAAGCTATTATTGTGGAATGAATGTGAGACTCCAAGTGTGGGGATAGGAGGATCCGAAAGGGATGAAGATATGTGGAGCAGGGGGATAAACCATGGGTTTGTACAGTTTGATGGGGAGGGGGGTGTGTGTGAGGGAAATTGGAAGAATCTGATGTGAAAAACAATACACTGGAATTTTTTTAATAAACTAGCATAATAAAATTTGTTTTTAAAAAGAGATATAGGGTACTTTAAAAATCCATAGTATTATAGGTAGGAAATGGTCAGATATATTGACTTCTCACCCGGGTTAACACTTCAGCCCCCGCTCAGGCTGTGGAGAATCAGTTCCGTTTGGGCCACAGGTCCAATAAGCGCGGCTGTTGTTTGTTGAGCAGCATGTCTTGACATTTCGCAAAGATGTGTTTTCATGTTTCTACTGATGAAATTCAGTCAGAATGTAAGCAGAGGTCAGAAGAACATTAAAGCTGAATGCCCTTAATCATTGCTTCTTGAAGTGTGTGAAAAACCTTGTCCTGGACTCCAGAATATTGATTTTCTCTGCACTCTGGTGACCAGTCACCTGCTGCAGGAAGCGAGCCATCAAACATGTTTGGACACTGAGCCCTGGAGGCTCCTGCTCTGCAGTGTGGAGCCACACGTGGCTGGTTGTCTTCTTGCTTCTTAGCACTTGCATTCTGGAGTAAGAGAGAGTAATATAGAAAATAGAATGGAAATCTGTTACTCTTTGTAGTTTCTCTTGCATAAGACAAGAAATGACTGAGTCGAAATGCCTGTGGATCTGTGCTGTGTGTGCTGCCCTAGAAGGAGGTCTGGTGACACAGGGGTATAAGCTTGACTGTTAACTGAACAGCTGGTTGTTTGAACCTGCAAGCCCATCAGCAGGAGAAAGGTGGAGCTCTCTCTTCTGTAAGGACGCAGCCTTGGGGGCCCTTTGGAGGGCTCCGTCCCTCTTAAGGGTCACTGGGAGTCAGAATCACCTTGATGGCAAGTGGAGGTTTGAGTGGATTTAATTTAATGGGCATTTTTCAAGGACCCTGGGTGGCGTACTGGGATACATGCTAGATTGCTAACAAGAAGGCTGGCAGTTCGAGTCCAGCCATTGGTCTGCAGGAGAACAGTGGACACTCTTCTCCCATAAAGATTGGACGCCTGATTGAAGGTCTCCATGAATCAGAATCAACTCAGTGGCAGTGATTTTGGTATTGCTTTAGCTCCAGGAGGCATTAGCTGTACAAGGTCATGTTTGTTTGCCAGGAATGTAGCCATTCAACTGGTAAGATTTCTGCTGCTGCTTGAGATGCCTGGAAATGTGGACATAAACTTTATTTTATGGCTTCATCTCATGTCCAAGACGTGCCTAAGATAGAGGCTGGCTTGAGTGAATGCTGGGAGTCAGAAGTAGGGATTTGCCCTATAAAATAGAGCAGGTACTCAAAATAACAAAGCAACTCACATGAAATTGGACCTACTTTAAAAAAAAAACAAAAAACAAACCCAACACATTCATGAAACAGTTCAATCCTAGACTAAACCTGAATATTTTTTAAAACAATTAAACTAAGTTAAACAAAAGCAAATATCCCACCTCAAACAAATAAAATTAGAAACTGATTTTATTCACTCAAAACTCTTGATGCTTAAAATTGTCCACTCTGGCCTCATTGGTGGGATATGTGCATTGACCTAACATTGAATCACATCTTAATTATATTCTTTATTGAATTACACTGTTATCACTGTCAGTAATTTGTTTTAGGGGGAATTGAGGCATGGAGTGGCCACCGTGACATGCTCAAATGTACACAGGCTGAAGGCCTAGAAACCAGGTCTCCTGGTATATGGTATGGTTGAACTCTTTTAGGGTCTGTAGTGGTGCTGGGGAAGAGTACTGAATACCCCATGGACTGCCAAAAAGAACAGACAGATATATCTTGGAGAAAGCCCAAAGAGGGTGCTCCTTAGAGGAAAGGGTGGTGAAGCTTCATCTCACATATTTTGGACATGTTGTTAGGAGGGACCAGTCCTTAGAAAAGGACATCATGCTTGGAAAGGTGGAGGGTCAGCAAAGGAAGTGAAGATCAGATGTACAGCGTGACTGCGGCAATAGGTTTGAGTATGTCAGGGATGACGAGGATGGGACAGGAGAGAGTAAGGTTCAGAGCCATTGTCCATAGAACCACTGTGAGTTGTAGTAGGCTTGACAGCACCCAGCAACAACAGGCGGAGCTCTGGTAGCGCAGTGTGACTGGAGTTGTATTACTAACACTAAGGTGGTTCCTCCCTGACACTTCAAATCCACCAGCAGCTCAGCGGGAGAAGGAGGGACAATTTTCAGCTTCTGAAAACCCTCTGAAGGATCAGCTATGAGTCTGTTCTGACTCATGGGGTCTGAGTTTGGGCTTTTTGAGTGGTGTGGTGGTTTCAGCTCTTGGCTGCTAATGCACAGATGGCTGGTTTGAACCAGCCGTGGTAGGGAGGCTTGGCTGTTTCCATAAAGATTGGAAACTTATTGGCAGTTCTGTTTTGTGCTAAGGTGTCACTAGAGGTCAGAAAGGACTTGTCAGCTGTGGCTTTTTGTGGGAGGAGGCCTAGGGACTCAGTAGCTGTGAGGATCCTTAAGGAGACATTCGTAATTCTTCCTACTTCCAGGTACTGAGGGCGAGGGAGCTTGTGGCTGCTTGTCCACACCTTGCTCTGCCTCTCACCTTGAAGATACTTAGAAATTTCCACTTCCTAGGACTCCATTCAGAGTCCTTGGGTAGTACACCCAACACAGTTAACACATTCAGCTGTCAACAGAAAGGTTAGAGGTTCCAGTTCACTCAGAAGGACCTAGGAAGAAAGGGCCAGTGATATACTTGCAGAACTATCAGCCACTGAAACTGCTGTGGAGTACAATTCTCCATAGAACGTGGGTTGTTATAGGGCCTTAACAGTTAGTTAATCTCAAGTTGGGAGGGCGGGCTATTGATCGGGAAGGCTGGGGAACGTGTAAGATTTTTTCCTTCTAAAGGGCTACTTACCACCCTTTACATTGTGTGCTGCTCTAGGTGTTCAGTTTCTCAAAACAAATTTTAAAATTTTTATCTGAGAGAATTCTCTTAAATTGTTGGATTATTCACTTTTGATTTTTAAGGCTAAGTCAGAGTCCAACTTTTTTTTTTTTCTTTGCTTGTTTTCTTCTCAAGATAAATTATTATCATGGGTATCAATATTTGGTTCTTATTTTCCAGGAATTATAAGTGAGAGCCTTCAATTGAACCAGGAAGATGGTGGCCCTGTCCCTAAAGATTTGTGTCCGTCACTGCAATGTGGTGAAGACGATGCAGTTTGAACCTTCCACAGCCGTGTATGATGCCTGCCGGGTCATCCGGGAGCGAGTGCCTGAGGCACAAACTGGCCAAGGTAGGTCACCAGTTATTTATGGTTTCTTTTGTTTGTTTTGTTTTGTTTTTAAATTTTATTAATTTTGATGAAAGTTTACAGAGACTTTGGATTTCTATTCATACATTGTTGCACTTTCCTTTCTGCCCATCCCTCCCCCCCAGTTAGCTCTTCTCTTGAAAAGTAAAAGAAAAATTTTTTCATTGTTGTACAATCCCCCCAGTCCACTCCACTCCACTCTGCAGCCTTCATTCTAGACTCCTGTCATGACAATAATACTTAATCCTATATCCCTTTTAAACAGTTCTCTCACTCATCTGTTTCAATGCAGTATACGTTATTTATCTCCTCTTTTATCAGTCTCCCCCCAACTCTGATTTCAGTCCCTCTTTTCAACAGTGGAATTATGCAGCATTTGTCCCTCTGTGACTGAGATATTTCACTCAGCATAATGTCCTCCAGGGTCACCCATTTTATATAATAATTCATGAGTTTCTTGTTTTTCAATGCAGCATAGTATTCCATTGTGTGAATATACCATAGCTTCTCTATCCATTCGTTTGTTGATGGGCACTTGGGTTGTTTCCAACTCTTTGTGATTGTGAACAAAGCAGCAATAAACATAAATGTGCATATATCTGCTTGGGTGGCAGTTATGGTTTCTTTAGGGTATATTCCCAACAGTGGAATTGCTGGGTCAAATGATATTTCTATTTCCAACTTTTTGAGAAAGTGACAAACTACCTTCCATAGTGGTGGCACCATTCTACATCACAAATAACAGTAAATAAGGGTTCCAGTTTCTCCGCAACCTCACCAGCATTTGTTGTTTGCTGTTCTGTTAAATTTTGCTATTCTTACTGGGGTGAGATGATGTCTCATAGTTGTTTATTTATGGTTTCTTAAAATGTGCTGATTTACACAATGGAATACTATACAGCATTCAGGAGCAATGGTTTAGAAATTTACTACATAACTTTGGAAGAACTGGAAAGTGTTATGCTGAGTGAACTAACTCAGTCCTATAAGGACAAATACTGTATGAGACCATTATTTTAGAAATAGAAAGATAACTAGTAAAATGTGTATGAGGATCCAAGGTGGAGCAAAGGAGAGGGGTAAGGATGGGCAGGGGAGATATCATAGGGTCACACAATTTGATGGATGGATGAAGGGAAAGGCAAAGGAAATGGGAAAGATCCAGCGGGGATCTGGAAAGACAGGACAATGGTGGGCCTAGTTCAGTGTTGATTAATTTTATAAAATATAATGGATCAAAATGATTGTATGTAACACAATGTGAATGAAGGATAGTATGAAACACAGTGTATACAAACTTTGTAAACAAACCAATATAAAGTAAATTGACAGCCTTTTTAACAAATGGTGTTGGCAAAATTGGAAAACTATCTGCAGAAGAATTAAACAAGATACCCACCTCACTCCATATACAAAAACCAACTCAAGGTGGATCATGGACCTAGGACTAAAGTAAATTTTTTTTAAAAAAAGATATGCTGATATATTCTACAGTTTGTAGCTAAAGAATCACAAGTCCTGACTAATTTATAAGCCACCAGTGTTTTAAGTGTAAGATCTTCTCAGATCTGGTGGCTACCTGCTTCCTCAGGAAAGCTTTTGACAGGAGCCACTTCTAGCTCTGAATCATCATAGTGGTCACACTGCTGTCGGCCTCATGGTCATCTCATGCGTCATGTTCTGTTGTATAGTTTGCAGATCACTGTAGTGTAACCATGCAAACCTCATCTTCCAAAGCCCTGAGATCAGAAGAACTAGATAGTGCCTGCTGACAACTCTAAAAGGGATCACAGTGGAAGATCCTGGATACAGTAGGGGGAAATGTAGCACAAAACCTTCTGAAGTTCTGAGCTGCCTTCTGAACTGATACTGTTTGTCACTGCTGATGACACTAAAATAGATCACAGTAAAAGATCCTAGAGAAAGTAGGGACAATTTAGACCATAACTCTAAAACATCAGAAAGCCCAGGTTCAATAGAAGCTAGTGGAATCCCTGAGACGATAGCCCGTAGTCACCCTCTGAATCTGCAACCAAACACTTCCATGGCTCAACTTGCAGCCAAATAATAGTCTGGCCTATAAAGTGACCAGTATCACCAGGGGCAGTCACTCCTTATAATAATCACCCATACACAGTAAAAAAGAGTAACATTTGCTCAGAAGATAGGAAGGGTAAGAAGGATGAATAAAAATTAGTATTCTGGGGATAGAGTGGGAAAATATGATTATATGGTTGGTATGTGGCCTAGCGGCAAGATGCTGCATTGCAGTCCTGAAGGCACAGAGTTCGAGTCCACCAGCTGCTCCATAGGAGAAAGATGGGCAGTCTCTTCCCGTGTGATTAACTGCCTCTAAAAGTCTGCTGGAGGGTCAGCTATCGGTTGGTTCCGACTCGACAGTACACAACAATTAAAATGAAATAAACTGTGTATGAATGGTTGCATGGAAAATAAAATTTCACTCAAATATTTTAGAAATAGGAGGGAAACCTCCCGCATCCAGGTATATTGTCTTCGTTTTCCAGTAAAGTACAGGTGCAGCTGTTGTAACTGCATATCTGGGTCCTGAACCTTGTTTTGATGTATGAACACTGTCCACTGTCAGCTGTCTGGGGAAGGCTCATGTGACCGGCTCCTCTGCTGCCAGGAGCAAGGGCAAGTCTCACATCTCAGTCACTTTGCAAAGGCTTTGAAACTTCACCACAAAAGAAAAATCACTTGTGATCTATGTTTTGTTTGGTGTTTGGTTAAACCACTGACCCCTGTTAATCTGCGTTTCAACAGAAGCCAGTCAAAGACTTTGATTTCCCATTTCCCCTTTTTTTCTTGCTGTATTTCCTTCCTCCATGTATTGTTTATTTGACTGATAGTTGAGAAACTTGGATCATTTCCAAATTGATAAGCCTTTAGTGTGAAAGTGGAATAAAATTTATCTTACAAATAGGGAGATTATAACGATGGTTGAAATGGCAAATATTCACTCACTCATTGCCGTCCAGTCAGAATCTATACATAGCTGACCCTCCAATGGATTTACAAAGATTGTAAATCAAATGAGAAGAGATTGCTTATCTTTCTCCTGAAGAATCAGGTGCCTGCCCTTGGGTTGGCAGCTTAACTCCTTACCCACTAGACTATGAGGACCCCTTCCTTGTCTTACAGGGGTGTGTGTTGGTTTTTTTTGGGGGGGAATGTATTTTGTATATCATTGAGTCATAACTGACCCATAACTCATCCTCCCGTGGATAAGATGGCTTATCTTTCTCCTGTGAAGCAGCTGGTGGATTTGACCCACTTACCTTTGCGTTGCTAGGATAGCTCCTTACCACTAGGCCACTAGAACTTCCCATTTGTTATAGATAGCCCACCATAATAAAATAAAAGAAATAGTAAGATTACATATCAAATGTAGCTTTAAGGGTAATAAATTGGTAGGAATGAGTCATTTTGAAAAGATCACAAAACTCTTCTCATCTTTCAGTCTAAAAGCATTAATTATGTTATTAAAAGTACTGTATGTTTCAGCATCACTCAGACAAGGAAATAAAGTTTGCCCATCTCCCCAAACTTATTACAAAATTTGGCTTTTAATTTTTTATTTTTAAAAAACACTCCCAAATAAATCAAACTTTAAAGAACAAAAATGTGTTTTCTCAATGTTCAAGAATCTAATTATGCTTTAAGTGAAAGTTTAAAAGGTGTATTAGTTTCCCATTCAATACATAAATTGTTCCATAACACTGGTGTCTCCACAATATGTCAACACTCCAAATTTTCACTCTAACTTTCGATTTTTCTCTCCCTTTGCTCTCTCTGCTCTTCCTTGCTTTTGGGCAATTGTTGGATATTAGATCCTCTGTAGTTGATTATCCTAGGAAGTACATTGTTTATTTTATAAAGCAATCTGTTCTTTAACTGGAAAGTGGCTTCCAAGGTTTTCTTAAAAGAGTGTCATTTTAAGCAACAAACACAAAGTTTGTTAAGACAGAAAACAATAAATGCGAGTAAGGGTGTAGAGAGATGGAATTCATATACTCATAGGTACTATATAATGGTGCAACCACTCTGAAAAATGTTATCATGCCTTGTTAGGAAGTTAGAAATAGGAAATAGAAATAACTTTTAGTTCAGCAATCCCACTACTTACACACTATGGAATACTTTACAACACTAAAGATTAATAAAGAATTCTAGAAACACTGAACAACATGGATAAATCTGGAAGACATTACATGAGTGTTATAAGCTAGTAACAAAAAGACAATATTGTGTATGTCAGCTCGTGTAAAAAGTTAAGAAGTATAAAACAAAGTAATCAGAAAATACAATAAGAAAATTAAGCAGAAGTTTACAAACAGAAAAATGTTCTTTGAGGTTGCTATGGTTTAGAGAAAAAGCAAAGATTAGAAAAATCAGTAAATAGATAATGTTGTTGTTGTTGTTGTTGTTAGGTGCCATTAAGTCACTGCCAACTCATAGCAACCTTGTATACAACAGAATATCCAGTCCTGCACCATCCTTACAGCCTGAGTTGTGTTTAAGCCCATTGTTAGAGTCACTGTGTCAATCCATCTCGATGATGGTCTTCCTCTTTTATTCACTTAACACCCTACTTTTCCAATATGATCTCCTTTATCAGATACTGGCCCCTGTTTGTAATAAACATATATGGAGTTGTATACTGTGAAAGGCAATACAGAGTAAGACCTGAATCAGCACAGTATCTCTAAAGAACAAGAATGTCCCATTTGTCGATTTTATCTTCTCCAGGCTGTACATTTTTGGCTATTCTGCAAGCCTATTTATGCCGTTGGTCAGGGCTTCTAGTTTAATCCCCCCCCTTTGTTTCTTATGATCTTTATGGTTTGGGCTTTTACCCTTAAGTCTCTGATCCACTTTGAGTTGTTTTTGTGTTTCATGTGAGATGTGGACCCTGTTTCCATTTTCTGCAGGCATATGTCCAGTTTTGACAATACTGTTAA